GTATCGTCTTCGTGTACAGATTTTTGGGATTCGAGTTCGGCGATCGAGAAGGTCGATGCGAAACTTCGAGCCGGCATACTTTTATCGCGCGTTACAATTTTTGCCCGATCGACGATAAAATCGACAAAATCGAATCTTGAAACCATAATCATTTCGCATAAAAATTGGCGAACGCGGTAGATCCGCGTTCGAATGCCTGTGCGCGTCGCGGTAAACAGGCGATCGAGACGAGTTTAAGCCGTGATTTAACCGCGGATCGATAAGCCGTGCCTCGTTTATCGACTTCCTTGCGATCGCGTTCTCTTTTTTTTTTCAGCGCGATTCCTGATAGATGGAGATAAGTTGCATTCCAGACGCGAGCGAATTCGATACGCCGATACGCCGATACGCGATGCGGTAAACAATAACGAATCGTGTCAAGAACGTCGCGCCTTCCTATCGTTTACGCGATCGTTCGAACGACGGCCTTGTTCGATCGTTTTAGAATTTATCGAAGCGCGCTAGAAATTGTTCGCGTCGATTCTCGGATACGTTATTATCGGACCGCAGATTTTTACGCGTTCCCGGAAAATATTGGAGAACGCGCGGGAAAAAGTGTACTTTGTAAAAACAGCTTCCACGGTTTACGTTTCTCTTCGACGTACACGCGTAGGGCGTACACGCGTAAACGACGCGATTGAAATTGCTTTCGCGTTGAAAAAGATGCGAACTACAATTTTAACGTATAAAATGAACTTTCGTCGAAAAATCCGCGACCGAAAATTCCGGATCGATGGAAAATTGCGAACGCGTTATCGAAAAATGGGAGACGCGTTCGACCGTCTTATCCGTCTTAAGGGCTCTAAGCCCTTTACGGCGACGCACCTGGTACTTAAAAAATTGAAAAGACAATTTTCTGCGACGCGGAGCCACCGAAAACTTGTTAAACGTGCTCGTAGCAACGCGTACGGTGTCTAAAAAATTAAAAAGAAGATGTTGCGCGACGGAAAAGTCGGAAAACCAAAGGGAAGAAGAGGAAAGGAGAGCAGAGACACCGACTCTTTTCGAATTCACGAGATTATTGTGAATAAATATGGACGAGATTCGCGTTGCTTCGCTCGCGAAAAGTTTCGCGCGCCATAATTCGAGATTACGCCGCGACCGAAAAGTTTCGTTAAAAAATATTCCGCATCGGAAGTTTGCAACTCGTTACACGAACAGCTCCCTCTCTTCCGTCTCTCTCTCTCTCTCTCTCTCTTTTATCTCCTCTCTCGAAAAGCGCCAACTCATTTTTCGCGCGCGCGCGCGCAAGGCAACGCGATCTTCGTTTTTAGAAGGCTCCCTTTGAGCCCCGGAAAAGGTTGCGCGCGACAAAGAGGAGCCCCTTCGTCCGGTTCCAGCGACGTGCCCGAGTTTTAATAAATATTGAGACGGAGCGCGCGCCGTGGCACAGCCTCGCAGGATTATCGGCGAAGAACGAAGTTTAACGAACTTTTTAATCGAAACATTTGGTTGGATCTTGATTAACGACTCCGCACCCTGTTGCGCCCGTCCTCCTGTTTATTTCCATGCGCATTATTTACCATTTTTATCCGACCGCCGGTCGGATTCTAATAACTTTCCGACCGGCCCGAACTTTCGACGTATTCTTGTCGCCCCATGAATAAAGGAAAAATCTCCACCGAGAGAATCGCTGGATATTCTTTTTTCCATCTTTTCGTGCACCGAGAAGACGGGAAAGCGTAAACAACCGCGTACAGGGTGTCTCTCCGTAAGGTACGCGGAAGTAAACGCGCAAAGAGGCGTACGTGGCAAATTGCAAACGAATTTTCAAACGAAATTTTCTCGAGAATCGATATAATCGCGGCAGCGCCGTTTCATTTTCATTCGATAATTCTGCGAAATAGAGATCCAACGTCGTCGGGCGTGCGCTGCAGCCGACACCGTGGCGAGTCTATGATGCGGTTTTAATTGCGTACGAGTAGGAATCGCGATCGAAGCGCGGCGCGAGTACGGGCGTTGTAACGTTAACGAGAGTCTGGGCTGTTTAACCCTTTGAGGGAAAAGTCGAACAACGAGGAGCACGGTAAGTTCCAATTGGGAACGGGCGAAAGACTTTCCTCTCGCTAAATGCTCCGAAGAAGAAGTCCGGGTCGCGCCTCGTTCCTATGCAAAACCGAGGGGCCCGTTGTTGTCCGGTGTAGGCACCGTCGCAAACCAGACTTAATCCCCGCACGGCGAATTCGAAATGTACTTTTACGACGCGATATAGCCTCCGCCGCTCACCTTTTCGCTGTTCAACGAGGGCTCGACGTCGCCATCGACGGGGGTAAAATCGGCAGGGTGGGAATTTCCAGGACGATCTCTCTCGGCCCACCGTCCACGCGCCCGTCCTCGAAACACCCTACGCGACGACGTTCTATTTACACGATGGCACCCCTACGGATCCCGCGAGTCGACTTCTCGAAGAATCTCTGCCGCGGCGCGGCGCGACGCGCCGCGTCGCGTCGCACCGCACGATTAATTCCCCGTGATAACGGGGAACGATTTTCGCGAGCCGCTACCAAACGCTGCTACCCCTTTCGTCCGATAGCTGGGATCGTTGCTTCGGATTCCGTGCATTCGTTTGCCAACGTTTCTCTATTCCAAGTTCGATACGCTTTAAAATTTCATTACTTTTATGAAAAGTACAACTTTCTCAATAAACGTATAAGAAGAACTAGACGTGGCAGAAAGGAACGTATCCGAGAGCTTCGTTTTTCCTGCGAAACGAAAGCACTGTTCGACGTAATAACGTCAAAGGAGTATCGCTGTACCGTAGCAACGTTCGAGAACAAAAGCTTGAAATTTTCAAGCGCGATAGCGTTGCACCGTGCTTTCGAGCAGAGAAACGGAGAAAAAGAGAGAGGGGAGGGGCGGGGCGGGGCGGGACGAGAATTATTAGCAGCGTTTCGCTACAAATAATTCGCGAGCATCGATGCGCGTTCAACGCACGAAAATACGATACTTCGTAAACATTGGATTCGCTGCACCGCATCCATTGCTCGACGCCGGTCGGAAAATACGCGCGCGCGCATCGATATCGAGCTGCAAATTTCGGTATATCTGTGCGATCCTATTAAAGATTTTTTAATAGATCGTTTCGTTTTGTTCGTACGAGATGAATAGAAGCATGAAAGGCGAGCATAACGGAGCGGTAACCGCGCGCGTCTGCGAGATTTTGTGGAATTCGCACGGCGAACGATCCGTACGGTGGATCGCTCTGAAACAAAGAAAAAAAATGGGCGGACGAAGAAGGTACGAAACGAGCGAAAACTGCGAAAAAATGGGCGTCGATTAATATTTTACGCGGAGGGACGAGAAAACACGGGCAACGAGAGAAAGTCCCTTCGGCATCGACTCGGGTCCGTCTATTACGAGAGGTATAGACGACGTACATATACTTACCGTGTCCCGCGTCTCTTCTCGGCCGTCATCCCCTAAGTTCGCCCCGTGCCGGTCTATCTAGCCGGCAATTCCGTCGGGGGTTCCGCATAATGCTTTTTTCAAGCCTGCCAGCAGGGTATCCCGGTATCCGTCCGCGAGAGTGACGCGAATTTTTCCCCCGAAACGACCTTCCATTCGTGTACGCGAATCCAGCCGGCACCCCCGAGGCGCGCTACCGTGAATTATCCGAGTGGCTTCGGTAATTCCGTCGGGAATCGTTTTGCATAATGTTAAGAAAATACTCGTAAAAGGCCGCGCCGAACGACTCCGACGAGAGCGAGTTGCCGGGCTCTCGATGCCGTTGCCGCTGCCGATCCTGTCGTCGTTATCGTCGTTGTTTTCCCCGGTGATACCGACGGCGATCGTCGAGACACGATTCCAGGATCCTAAATTTTCCGCGTCCTACGACCCGCGTTCGCTCGGATGTCCAGCGATCGCGCTCGCGCTCGCGCTCGCGTTCGTCGTTCCGCGGAAAACGCTTTTCGTTGTTGGTTCCGCGATCCGGTAATTTCGTCTCGCGTTAAAACTCCCTGACCGCGTGAAGCTCCGCGATACGCTCGCAACCGTGCTTTCCCGATCAGCGGGTGACGCGAGACGCGATCGAAGCGTCCAGAGGCGCGGAAAGCGGGCCGGGTGTGCAACGAAGCGGCGGAAAGGTGAAAACCGTCTCGCGGAACGATGGTCGAGAACGGAACCGACGCGGCGGATGGAAACGTTTTGAGAATTTCTTAAGCGGCGAAATTCGCGACAGAGAGCGCCGGCACGCGACGCGGAAGAACTCGATTACGCCGGAGGCTGTTGGTCGAACAAGCTGCGAGTTTACACCCGGGAGAATGCGGGTCGTCGTTCGAATCCGTTCGGAATCTTGCACCCGAGCTACTTCGGATTCGAGACGCCGAATCCTCGACGGGTTCGCGGCAAAATTTGCGCAGCTTCCTACGACGATTTCTCGAAAGTCCCTCGACGGATCCAAGTTCGAACGAGCAGCGAGAATACCGTTTCGGCGAAACGCGTTCGGAAAAAAAAAACACCGAATCGAGGACTCTTTCCTCGGCGAATCAAATTATTTGACTGCGACTCGACTTCTCCATTTTCACGGTACGATGGCGCGCGATCTCGTTTCGACGGATCGAATTCTTCGAAGGAATCGTCCGGTCTCGCGAATCGCGGATCGCGAACAGCGAGCGGGACGAAACTGAAAAGGAGGAAGGAGTGGCGAGAGTCGAGAAGATCTCGCGAACGCGCGTCCAGGATACGCCTCGTCGCGTCGCGTCGCGTCGGCGTGGTCGCGATGCGACGATTATCCAAGTATAAAGATTCGACGAGCGAGCGACGCTAACGATTCCAATAAAATAAAAGGGAAGCAAGGACGCGCGCGCGGTTTCGTGCTCCGGGGCGAGGGTTCCAGCGGGGAATAGCCCTGTATCTGTACCGGGGGTTAAACCGAAGGTGGTGTACGATACGCGCACGAGGCGAAGTTGCGGCGCGCCGCGCAGTCTCGACTCCGATTGGCCGTCGTGAAATCCGCGCGAACCACCGGAGACCAGTTGAGCGCGAGACTCCGAGCCGAACGGTTGTACGCACGGACGTAGCGCGGCCGAACACCACGATCGTATTCTGTCCTCTCGATCGCGCGTACGACGCACGACTCTCCTGCTCGGTTTCGCCATCGGGCCCCCGTTGCAAATATCGCAGGCTCGTCGCCGGTCGGTTCGCGCGGGCCATCGTTCGATCCGCCTGCGAGCATCGTACGCGATCGTACTCGTTCGAACGACCCAGTGAGACGCGTGACAGCGCGAGAGTGGTGATTACCGTCGTGACTTCCGAGCCGAGTGAGACTACTCTGGATTTGTTTTGCCAACCCTTTTCACGGTCCTCCGAGGGAGTTTCCGGTGGCAGGAAGAAGCATCGTGACACGTCCGGTACTCACGGTGAGTCCACGCTTTTCACCTTTTCGTTCGAATACGAATTTTTCCCGTACCGTCTCCTCTGCTCGACGACGCGACTCGTCGCGCGAACGCGCGTACATTGGAGATGTTCGAAATTCCGTTGTTCGGCGACGAGCTGAACATCTTTTTGTAAGGTCGATTCTTCGGACACGCGGTTTGCTTCGTTTCGTCGAGGTTATTTCGGCCGAAAATTGGATCGCGTCGGGATCATTCGTTTCGTTTCGAGGATTCTCCAGCGACGATTCGGGAAGCGACTTTTCGCGAATCGGAGCGGCGGCCCGCGACGTTCTCGCGTTTCGGAGTACGCGGATGTACGCATCGTTTGCTCCGTCTTGTCGGACCGGTGCGAGCTGGAACACATTTTCCGTTGTTCCGTCAAAATTCCGAGAATTTTTGGCAATTTTGATAATCGAGGATCCGAATTTTCACGGTTCGATGGTGAAAAGGGCGCGCGTGCGGCCGCTTTCGTCGAAATCTTTGCAGCGAGAACGATTCGTTGCATAAATTCGAAGCGTGTACACGTACGTGTACGTATTTGTTGGGAATCGAGAAAATCGAAGAAGATTCGTCTATCGCTTTCGAGTAGCTTCGCTGCGAATTTCTCTACGCTTTTGTACATTTTTTCCAACGTTGTCGACTATGTTGCAACAGAGATCGCATATTCGGATCGTTTTCGCAGAATTTACAGATTTAGAAAGTGGAAGGAGATTCGCGTCGTATCGAAGTCGATTAGATCGTATCGCATCCGATTCACGTTTTTCCTCGAATTGCGAAAAAGTGTTTTTCGCGTCTGGAAAGTGAAAGTTTTGGAGCAGTTTCGTCCGTGATTTTTCGTACGAACAAACGTTTGAAACGTTCGATCGAGAATACGGAGAGCGAGGGAGCTAAATTTTGATCGTTTCGGAGCAGTTTCGCGCGTTCGTCGCGTTTCAATTTTCCTTTCGTTCGTCGACGTCGGTCGTCGACGACGCGGTGCTGTCGCGTCGTTCGATCGGAAAAGAATTTTGATTTCGGATTTACGGCCGCGAAGAAAGAAAATTTCGACGCGCGACTTTTTCGACGGTGCCTATCCGATCGAGGTTTTTCGCGTCGTCCGTGGGTTCGGTCGCCGAGTTCTCGAAATATACATCCGATTCGATCGATTGGGAAAGGTTCGATGCGATATTTCGAGTAGTTACTTTCGTTTCGAAAGTAGAGAGGATAACGGGGCTTCGACGTCCGAAACGTTTCGCCTCTTATCGAAGCAACCGCCGGGAAAAGTGTAAACCCGCGCACGCCTGCGGAACTATTTCGATTAAACGGGCAAAGTTTGGACGGAAGTTGCCCGGCCCCGAAGTACCCTCGAAAAAATGACGACACTTGGCGCGCACCTAATATAATACTTTGCGGGTTTCGCGTGTATCGACGCGTGCGAGCGGAACACGGTGGACGGTTTTTGCGCCGCGAGCAGGAAGCAATGCGAAGACCTTTAACGGTTCGGTTCGCAGTGAAAAAAGAAATACCGCAAAAATTGGCTCGCGTCGCCCGTCGCGTCTCCGGCACGCGACCGTGGTCTCCGCACGGTTTCTTAGGTTGCTTCGCAAAATTCTGCGACCTCCGAATTGGAACGACCGAAGCGTCCAATCGAAGCTTCCGATTTTTCGATTTTTCGATCTTTCGATCTTTCGAAGGAATCGGTTTACGATTTCTGGACGTCGACAAAGTTCTGCGAAGAATCGTGGAAGCTGCGGTCCAATTGTCTCGCGTGCAACCAGATATAATAATTCGACGATCGATCGAACGAACGTCGAGTTTCGATCGAACGAACGTCGAGTTTCGCTCGAAAGTCGTCCGAAGGCTGCACGGGAAGAGATTTTAACCTTCCAAGTTTCTCTCGACGTCGGAGAAGTCTCTTCGCTCTGCCGCCAAACCGAATTCGAGCGATCGTCGACGACCGAAACGGATCTCGAAAAGTGTGGGAGCGCGCGGCGAGCGGAAGCGATCGCGATAACCGGCTGTCCAACGCGAATTTGGCGGGCGTTCGAAGCGCGCCGATGCGGCGTCTGGTACATCCGTTGGAGTTTATCCGCCGGAATTTGACGGACGAGGCTTTAGAGAGCGTCTGGCGATTTAAAACGCGGCGAAAGAGAGGGGCCGCGAGGGTGTCTGGAATATTTCTTACTCGCTCGGAAAGCGAGCTGCTCGCTCCCGCGAGCCTGCCGCATCGAAACGTTGCGTTCTCGATACCGACCCTTCGGAATATACGCGCGTCCTCGGTTCCAGAGTGCTCCGGGAATTTCCGAAAAATCCTTTGCCGTCGGAGGTCGCTACGTAGGAGCAACGGCAGAAATCGCGATTACCGGGATCGACGCGACGAACGAAAACGAAAGATGCCTCTTTGCGCTGAATTGTTTCTCGCGCGATTCACCGGAACGGAGGACGTCTTCGTTCGCGATTCGATCAAAATTCGAAATTTCCACGGTTGGCTCGGCGAACGACCGTAAGAGATTCGTCGGGTTTTCCTCGGGGACGGTCGTGTCCGGAGGACGCATCTATTCGGCGTTAAAAGGATTATCCATCGATTCTCGGTAGGCATCCCTCGAGTGGAACCGTCCGTCCCATCGGGGCACCGGATGCGCGCGGCGGCGTTGCGTTATAAAATTAAGCTCGGCCGACGAACGTCTGTAATTATGCCGTGAGCCGGGTAATTTCTTGGCGCGCGCCTGCCGAGCCGGGAACGTTGACGTTTAATTTGGTCCCGCGCGCGGTTCCGTCGTTGCAGCGCGCGTTAACTTTCTAGCGCGAAGGCGAAGCGCGATCGATAAAAGGTCCCGGAGAAAACGAATCGCGCGAGTTGCCCGGCCCCCCACCGACGACGATTTCCAACCGATGCGTTCCTTCTCCATCGCCGATTTTCCCGAGGCCGGGACAACACCGAGCGACGTCGTTCGGCGGAGCTCGTTCCGCGATAATTACAACGATCGCTCCCATAATTGACGGCTGGACAGTGAAATCGAGTCGACCGGGACCGGTTGTTTGTAATTCAATTTCGTGCTTGTTAAACATTCCCGTATTTTTATTCGACGATGCGCGATCCGCCCGTTCGCGCTTATTCGTTGCCAATTACGCGGTCCGCAATTTGCGCGCGCGCGGAAAAATGCCGGGAACGCTTGCTTCGAAAATCGAGCGCGTCGCCGAGCGGAGAGGAAAGCCTCCCTCTTTCTTTCTTTCTTTTTCTCGCTCCCCTGGCAGAACGAAAATTACAACGAGGACTAGTTGAAATTTGTACGCGTCGCGCCGAAAATATAATCCTTGCATCCGTTTGAATAATTACGCGCGACCGTGTGCGCGCACACGGGGACGAACAACGCGAACGTTTATTCGCTGTTCCATGAATATTGCAAACATGTCCCGGAACGTGGCACGCTTCGTCCTCCATTTTGCAACCTCCTGAATATTTCAGGATCGCCGTCGGTTTAATTGTTTGCGTTCGCGATCGGCCGGCGACTTTCCCTTTTCGCCGCGTCCGAGGAACGTTTGACTTTTTTCGGGGATCTTCGGCCCGAGGAAAGATCTGTGCGTCGACCGATCTCCTCCGCGATGCGTCGACCAAATTTTATTCTTTATTTTCGCGCTGCGCGCGAAAGCTTTCCTCCCTGCGAGGAAGCGAGGAAGAAAGTTTCGGAAAATTCGGTGGAAACTAGGCCTCCGCGAAACGACCGGCTCCTCCGCGGGCGAAGACAGTGACGCGATCGATCCACTTTGTCAGCTCGAAAGATAGGAAAAAGAGGGAGACTCGAGACACGCCGAGGGTTTCGACGAGAGACCCTTTTTAAAAGGAGCCAGAGGGACGCGTTTTTCGGCCGGCTGGAGTTGTTCCCTCTACTTATTCCTTTCTATAGATTCCGGCGCTGCGCTCTCTCCCTCTCTCTCTCTCCCTCTCTGTTTACTTTCGATCTTTGGGAGCTTCGTTGCCTGAAAGAGCGCTCCACCGAGCCCGGATCGAACTCCGCGATGTTTATTCGGCTCGAGTTTGATCATAGTTCGATGGTCCGGTCGTAGTTATCGTTGGTCGCTCCGTGTCGACGAATTATGGTTATTTAAGGATATCTTCGACCCTAAGTTTCGCGAGAACGAGCATGCGCGTTCGTTGCAGGAAACAAAACGAAACGAAAACTCGTGCCGCCGAAAATTGAGACGTCTATTGTGGGCTCTGTTCCTTCGCCGGGAACGGCTCACAAAACGACCATCCTAACTCGTGTTTTCAGAAACTCGAAACGAGATTAAGGTAGTAGGTAGGGCCACCGCTGCCGGAAGCAATTACGCGGTAAGTTTCGATTCGATTTCGCCGCTGTTCCGCTCCCGGCCGGCCTCGCGACATACAATGGACACGTTTATTGGTTCACCGTAACGTCGCTCGAGCTATGAAATGATTTTTTCGGGCCGCGGCGAGCTCCGAAGCGGATCGCGCGACGGCTGTCGACGCGCGCGTTCAGCCTTCGGACTCGCTCGGCATTGTGCGATCGGTGTACGACGCGCGGCGTACGCGGTTTCTCGAAAAGAATGGCAGCGGAATTGTCCCGATATTCTTTGCCGTTGGACCGCGTCGAACTTTCCACGTTTCCAGCGTGCAACGATATCTCTAGAGAATTTCGGAACGCGCATCTCGCGGGACCGTTTCGATAAAATTATAATTATATATCGCGTCTCGACGAGACGGTCCGCTCGATCTTCGTCCATGGATCGTTGGATTTGTAGCTCGCAATGTTTTTCAATGGATTCGCGAACGCGCGTCTTGCAAGATCGTCTCGACAAAAGTCGAGAGATCGTTGGACTTTGCGCGTTCGTAGAGTACAACGATTCGTTGAAAATATAAAATGTGCATCCGTCTCGATAATCTTTATCGAGAAACTGTTGACCTTGGAACGGCGATGCGCGTCGAATCGCGTCGATCGATCGTTCGTTTCTCTTCCGCCGTTCGACGATAGGAGCAAGCTCCGATC